AAAAAAAAAAAGAATTAAGCAATGAGAAGCAACAAACCTAGGTTCAGAAAAAGGGGGGAAATGAAGAAGCAAGAGTGCAGGGCCCTAAATTTGGTGACAATATATCTGAGCAGTTGAGTTTGAAATGCCTGTCTGCCTATTTTGAAGCAACTTCATCATCCAACTCCAGTCAGAGCAAGAAACAGAAGAATAAACATGAAGAAGACGTAAACAACGAGGAATCTTCACAGATGTTGTCTCAGGTCCTGTGATAAGAGAGAATATGAGCTAATACGACGGGGTAACCTTCTTGCCCTCGGTTGCTGCCACCCAAATCTTTCCAAAAACTCTTCAATCAACCTAGAAAATAAATGGCTAAGTAGTAAAAGATATCAAGCCATACTGAGACCGCCTAAATAGAAAAAGACCTCAACTTCACTCACAAGCTGCAGATAGCCTTCTGTGAAGATGCCAGTTCACGATCTGGGAAGCTATCTTCCAATCGAAAACTCAACCAAACATAGAGATCCAAAACCTTCAACAAAATCATCAAAAGAAGAACAGTAGCTTTACCAGCAAAACCCACCAACGCACTTCAGCCGAAAAAAGAGAGAGAGAGAGAGAGAGAGAGAGAGAGAGAGAGAGAGATTGGAATTTTTTTTTCTTTCAAATTGACACCTTTACCATCAGCTTCTTACTCTGACTGAATATATACAAAGTTTACCAACTACATGGCAATATGGTAAAGTTGATGAATACATAGAGCTCCCTTAATAAGGAAATAATTCCAGAAGAACACACATAACGAAAAATTGTGATCGTCATCTAATTATATGCTTTTCTTTGAATTGTCACTCACAATGGAAAGAATATTATACTATGGAAAAAATAACCACAGTAATTCTAATTAACCACTAATATCAAAATCAGGACACAGCCAATAAGAAATCAATTTTCACAAGCTATTGCTTCTTAATTGTCAATTTCTCATTCAACAGGTGTCGAAACTATTCAAGAGTCTGACGGACACAAAACCTTTCTTGGAGTATGTAAAAAATGAAAGGGTGTAAAAGCTTCTTATTCTCCTTCAATGGGGTGCTCAGATGAGGCACTTATACCAACTAGAAAAAGAAAAAGAAAGGATATAACTTTATCTTCAAATGTCACAGAAAGTATATCAAGTCTGTTCAAATTCAAGAAGATGCCAGAAGCGCCATCCGCCAAACTCAGATTTAAAAGCTTCACTAATTGAAATTTGGGAGCGAAACCTTGTGCCCATGAAAAATAGATGATAAAAAAATAAACCTCCTATAGAGCAAAACAAACTGACCTTATGAATGGATTCAAGCTCCTTTAGTGCAGTTTGTGTTTTTGGCACTTGAAGTGCTCCTGGAGTAAATATTTCTCGAAGCCGAACAATGCCATTCTTCGAATAATTTTGTGCAAACTAGCTCACAACAGCAGGGTGATTCTATTAGCTTCCCTCCCAAGACCAAGCATTCATGAAATACTCGAGCAGTAGGAATAACTCTTACCTGCATAAGACCCTGAGAGGATATGTCATCATTCATGTCAACAGGACTGCACACGACAAACAATACTGAGTTAAATGTCTGACCAATTGGGGAATTCAAATAAAACAAACCTAACTTGCTGCAAGTTAGGTAGAATAGGACACTGATTCATGCGTGAAGAATTTAAGAAGTGGGAGGTCAATTTTGTGCATGTAATTGATACGGCGTAAGGTGGTTACTTTGAGGTGTCCAGAGTTTGGGGGTTGGGGGTCCAGCCTAATGATTTCTTAAAAAATAACAGCAACTTTAATGGGCCAAAACAAAAGTTTAAAATCTTGGAGGGGACACGCACTGGAGAGTCTATGCATAAGTTCTCTCCTGCACTGATTTAGACCATACAATTCTAGCACATTTCATTTATGTATACAAACTTCGTTTATTGCAAAATCAAATAGATGGTACCATGTGAAACAACTAATAGGCTTTGCAGTGTAGTTACATATTCAGCTGATAACATGACGATATAAAAAACTCAAGCCAACGGAAGTCCAGGCCATTCTCTGTCTCATATACTGTGGACATGAACACGGCAATCGCACAGAAATCTGTGTGTATGCCTCTGCACAAAAATATGACAACACCTTCAAAATTCTTCCACCAATTCTTCTCCCCCTTACCTCTCCTCGTTTGATGAAAATTATGAAAATTCTTCCGCCATGCAATTGTAATAAAAAATGCTTCTGGCTTACAAGCTTTATGTTTGATTAGTTATCACCCAATAGTTAAGGTCCACAAAGACGGATGAACTAGAAAGAAAATCTCAATCAAAGCTTCAAACCAGAAAACCAGATATGCAATGAGCCCCAACATGGGCATATAATTACTTTGAGTTCCAAGCTGCATTGTTTGGAACATGACATTAAGCTAAAGCATCTGACCTTACTTTTTTCGTTGGATAAGTCACATCAGTATGTACTATCTAAGTTTGCACTGGTACATGGAAAAGTACTAATTTCATAATACTTATTTTTGCTAGAAAAAAAGAATATTCAACATTAGCTCCCACAAAGAAACATGAAAACAGCAGGGAACCCAGTGTATCAATTAAATAGACAACTTTATAACGGTACAAATATATTACCTAATACAAAAAAGATACTTATCATGCAACCCAAGGGGGAGCTCATCAATTACAGCAGCAACTTTCTGTCGTCAACACAATGTGATTAGCAATTATAATACGTAAGAACAATACAAACTATAGAACATCAAAAAGAAATAGTCTGCTTATTGAAAGGACCAAATAGAAGATGGTGGGTTGGGGGTTGGAGAGAGAAAAACATACCAACATCTCTTCACAGTTTGCAAGAAAATAGTTTGTTGATAATTTGGCTTTCTCTACAAAATCCTCCTGATAAAAAAAAAAGGGAAAGTCTTTATAAGATTGTGGAAAATGAAACAAAAGAAAGCAAGGCCAACAAATTATTATGAAACATGTAGCTGCTCCATATGTACATAGCACAGTTCGCAATGATAAATAATTAATATATGATATCAGATGTTAGCAGCAAAAGCAGTCTTTATATCCCCCAATGGCTGACTTTGTCAGGCGCTTGCGCTGTGACCATCCAGCCTTGTGGTCCAATCTGACTCACTGCAGCCAGCGAAGGCCAAGAAATTCCCGGCTACTCTCACAAGCGAAGAATATACATATTTGGCAAAAGTGCAAATGTGAAGCATCCTGATGTGATGTTATGTCTTAATAAGCCATATTTTTCTTTCTATTTTTTCTACTTTAAATTTACTAAATAAAAACGAAGAAAGCTTTGAATAAGAAAAGGGTGTGGCCAAGATATACAGTTTGTGAATCTTGACAAGTCGTACCTGAGTAGTGAGAATGGATAGACAAGCTTAGCTCTAACTTGGATTGCACAAACGGTCCACACTATGATTACCAAAGACGGACATCTCTCTATACAGGATCCCCTTAAACAAGGACCATATCCTAAGTAGCCAGATGCTTCTATAGAGAAGCGGGACCACACTTCCTGCATACGGTTGAATCATGGTCAAACTGCTTACACTTCAATAAGACACTATGCAGCATGGAGACTTGAAAATTTGAGCTGTTTTCATGTCAAACTGTCACATCTTGGACACCCTAAAAACTGGTTTAAACCCTTCTGGACATGCCAACGGTGAAAAATAACTCATAACTTTTGACACATGTTCAACACTTTGAGAACGTTGCCTGATACATGACCTATGTGGCAGAAACACTTTTTTTCACATAGCCTACAGAACGACATTCTTAGAAACAGGATGAACACACACCAAAGTGTCCATATCTCACTTTGTTTTTCACAAACAATTGACATAACACAAATGGCTGCCACAATTAAAGCATGCCAAGGAACATTCTATTTTATACAGGTGTGCTTGATTAGCCACCTATAATGATATTATTATTTTTTTTTTGGGAGGGAAAGGGGAAGGGAAATTTGAACCCTTGACCTCAAGAAAGCAAAATATTGACAAGGTATGGAGTACCATTAGACCAAAGGCCCATCGATCACCTATAATGATATAAATTTTGTTTCTTTTCTACTAAAACCTAAGAAGCAAGGACATGGACAAGAGATCAATTACCTATTAAATATATCAATATCATGTGATAAAGTAAATATATTTTAATAATAAACATTGAATTCATCATGCTCTTAATTCTAACAATTCACATCATGATATCAAATTAAAAATACAATATCACATATACCGATACACATTCATCATAGTTCATGATTCAACTATTAATAACTATTACAATATCCATTTTAGACAATAACCCAATCCATAATCCTAATTTTCATCAATTTCTGTTAGAGTAATAGCATAGTTTATTAGGGTTTTGCCATTTTTATTTTCCTTTTACCTTTTTATCCTTATTGTACATTTCTTGTTTGAATATATATATGAGAGCTCTACACTTAATTCGTATCCTTTTTTACTCACAAATATCTCTTGTTAGTATTAGAGCCACTAACACTAACCCTAACCCTAACCCTAACCCTAACCTCTACTAATCGTTGCAACTGGCGAAACAAACTGGAGCAGCTGCTCACCCAACTTCAGCCAACCAAATCTCCAAACAACAGCAACCCATCACTCTATTGAAGCACAAACTCCATCGACAAACCACCCTAGACAGCCACTGTACTTTAGCCAACTTCAGCCCACCAGCAAAATCACAAAGCAAAAACAAACCAGCATCCCCCACTGCCCAGTGACAGCCACCAACTGCCAGCATCGACAAACCCATTGCCTAGAAGCCACCGACTGACCCAACACCAAAACCAAGACCAGCCCAAACCAGCGACAAAATCACGCCATTCCACCGACCCGATACCTTGCCCACTGAACTCCATCGACCTTCCCAACGACAAAACCACCCCAACCCAACCACCTAGTTCACTGCCCATCCATCGAACTCAGCACACCAGCGAACCCAACTGTCCGATACTCTGCCTCTGCTAACGAGCGAGAGACAGCTGTCTGTTTCTTGCTCTTCCAAAGGATAAGATAAGTCTCTCAAAAAGTATAGAAACCCGTTGTAGATCGACTGTCGCATGTTCCCTTATAATCTGAATCTGAATAACAAGTTATAGAACCAGTCTGAGATCCGGATACATAAAACATCCCAAGTCCAAGATAAGACTTGAAGTACCGAAGAATATGATAAACTGCATCAAGATGAGGCTGACACGGCCTATGCATGAACTGACTAACTCGGCTGACAGCGAATGAAATGTCTGGCCTAGTGTTGGCTAGGTAGATAAATCTACCTACCAACCTTTGATAGATAGTCGGATCTCTTAACTCCTTACCTTCAACAGTAAGTTTTGGGTTTGAAATTATGGGTGATGATGCCGGTTTGCACCCCAGTGTCTGAGAAAAGATCCAAAACATACTTTCTTTGAAAAAAAATAATAACCCTGCTGATATGGACAACGTTAATCCAAGAAAGTATCACAGAAATTCAAGGTCCTTCCCATCGAAGGCCTTCCCAAGNTTGGATCTCTTAACTCCTTACCTTCAGCAGTAAGTTTTGGGTTTGAAATTATGGGTGATGATGCCGGTTTGCACCCCAGTGTCTGAGAAAAGATCCAAAACATATTTTCTTTGAAAAAAAATAATAACCCTGCTGATATGGACAACGTCAATCCAAGAAAGTATCACAGAAATTCAAGGTCCTTCCCATCGAAGGCCTTCCCAAGGTCTACCTTGACCTGTGTAGTCTCAAAAATATTATCTCTAGTAATAATAATATTATCAACATATATCAAAAGAATGACACACTGTTCAGAAGTATTCCGTCGAATGAAACAAGTATGATCAGAATGATATCTGGTGAACCCTAAATATACAGCTACACCACTAGAGCAAGAGAACCATGCTCGTGGTGATTGTTTCAGTCCATAAAGAGACTTATGCAGTCGACATACCTTTCTAACATATTCTCTCTCACCATGAAAGTCCAGTGGTGTATGCATATAAATAATCTCGTTCAGATCATCGTGAAGAAATGCATTGTTTATATCCAACTGATGAAGAGGCCAAAAGTACTCCACAGCCAAAGAAATAATCANATGCAGTCGACATACCTTTCTAACATATTCTCTCTCACCATGAAAGTCTGGTGGTGTATGCATATAAATAATCTCGTTCAGATCATCGTGAAGAAATGCATTGTTTATATCCAACTGATGAAGAGGCCAAAAGTACTCCACAGCCAAAGAAATAATCAATTGAACATTAGTCAATTTTTCCACGGGAGCAAAGAGAGCACCAAAATAACGACCTGGTACCTGAATAAAGTCCTTCGCCACAAGCCTAGCCTTGTGACGATCAATACTGCCATCCGCAAAAAATTTCAAGGTGTAAACCCAGCGACAACCAATGGACTTCACTNTCGAACATTAGTCAATTTTTCCATGGGAGCAAAGACAGCACCAAAATAACGACCTGGTACCTGAATAAAGTCCTTCGCCACAAGCCTAGCCTTGTGACGATCAATAGTGCCATCCGCAAAAAATTTCAAGGTGTAAACCCAGCGACAACCAATGGACTTCACTCCTAAAGGTAAAGAGACAAGATCCCACATATGATTACGCTAAAAAGCATCCATCTCTGTCTGCATGACAAGAATCTACTGGGACACCCGCATAGCCTCTGAATTAGGGATATTGTTCTTTCTCAGAAAAAGTATGTTCTAGATCTTCTGTCAAACACTGGGATGCTGGGGTGCAAACCGACATCATTATCCATTATTCCAAACTTAAAGATTACTGCNGACAAGAATCTACTGGGACACCCGCATAGTCTCTGAATTAGGGATATTGTTCTTTCTCAGAAAAAGTATGTTCTAGATCTTCTCTCAAACACTGGAATGCTGGGGTGCAAACCGACATCATTATCCATTATTCCAAACTTAAAGATTACTGCTAAAGGTAAGGAGTTGAGAGATCCGACTGTCTATCAGAGGTTGGTAAGTAGACTTATCTACCTAACTAACACTAGGCCAAACATTTTATTCGCTGTCAGCCGAGTTAGTTAGTTCATGCATAGGCCGTGTCAGCCTCATCTTAATGCAATTTATTATATTCTTCGGTACCTCAAATTTTGTCCTAAACTTGGACTGTTCTACGCATCAGGATCTCAGACTGGTTCTATAGCCTGTTATTCAGATTCAGATTATGGGAAAACGTGTGACAGTCGATCCACTAAGGACTTCTGTACTTTTTGTGGGACTTATCTTATCTATTGGAAGAATAAGAAGTAGACAGTTATCTCTTGCTCGTCAACAAAGGCAAAGTATCAGGCACTAACACTGACACTTAACACGTGTGAGATTATCTGATTTTGATCAATTCTTGGCAAGTTGGGATTTCCAGTGACTTCTCCATCCACATTATATNCTTGTTATTCAGATTCAGATTATGGGAGAACGTGTGACAGTCGATCCACTAAGGACTTCTGTACTTTTTGTGGGACTCATCTTATCTATTGGAAGAATAAGAAGTAGACAGTTATCTCTTGCTCGTCAACAAAGGCAAAGTATCGGGCACTAACACTGACACTTAACACGTGTGAGATTATCCGACTTTGATCAATTCTTGGCAAGTTGGGATTTCCAGTGACTTCTCCATCCACATTATATTGTGATAATCGATATACTATTCAGCTCGCTCTGATTTTGTACTACATGAGAGAACGAAACATATAAAAATCGATGTTCACTTTCTTCAGGAGAAGGTTAGCTGAGATATTGTCACTCCATTGTTTGTGGGGACTAGTGATTAGGTTGCGGATATTTTCACCAAATCTATCACTCTATCCATTCTTCAGGACTCGGTTGTCAAACTTGGCTTAGTTGATATTTTTGCGCCTAACTTGAGAGGAAGTGTTGGAGTTATAGCCTAGTTTATTAGGGTTTTGCCCTTTTTACCTTTTTATCCTTATTTTATCTTTCTTGTTTGACTATATATACGAAGACTCTACACTTAGTTTGTATCTTTTTTTACTCACAAATATCTCTTGTATTTCAAAGAGTCCCAATTTCATAACCTCAGTTTTTTTGTTACATTACTTTTATATAGAAAATTTATTCTAATTGTATATAATTTTGTTTGCGTCCAAAATTACGTTATATTTATGCCCTATGTTATGTAGTAATTATAACTTTGACCTATATATCTTTAAAATTATAAAAATAACTNAGTTTATTCTAATTGAATATAATTCTGTTTGTGTCCAAAATTACGTTATATTTATGCCCTGTGTTATGTAGTAATTATAACTTTGACCTATATATCTTTAAAATTATAAAAATAACTTCATTAATTATAATTATAATTATAAATTTACTTGACAAGTTTTTAATTTTAAAAAAAAAATAACTCCACAAGTGTCCCAAAGATATCGGTCTCGTGTCCCCAACATGTCTTGAGCATGTCAATCGCATGCCCCCAATGTGTCTGTAAAAATTTAACAATAAAAAAAATTTGGGCACTTATTTTAGTGTGTTTGACATCGACACTCTTACCAANTTTTAAAAAAAAAACTCCACACGTGTCCCAAAGACATCGGTCTCGTGTCCCCAACATGTCTTGAGCATGTCAATCGCATGCCCCCAATGTGTCTGTAAAAATTTAACAATAAAAAAAATTTGGGCACTTATTTTAGTGTGTTTGACATCGACACTCTTACCAAAATAGAGTGTCCGTACCTAAATGTATCAGTCATTAAATATCCAAATTTCAATAATTTATTTCGCAATGTTTAGAGGTGTTTCACAATGTATTGTGTTGGAGTGTTTCAGAAACAATTTTTCAATTTTTTTCTACGTTTCTATTCAATTTCCAAAATGTTGATGAAATATTGTCGAAAAGTTTCCATTCCCAAACACCAAAAATGAAATTTCAATCTTTGGCCACCTATACATTTTTAAAAAGAAAATTTGTCAGTGTCGCATTATGTCTAGTCTTGATCTTTTACACAATTCNAGTTTTCAATTTTTTTCTACGTTTCTATTCAATTTCCGAAATGTTGATGAAATATTGTCGAAAAGTTTCCATTCCCAGACACCAAAATGAAATTTCAATCTTTGGCCACCTATACATTTTTAAAAAGAAAATTTGTCAGTGTCGCATTATGTCTAGTCTTGATCTTTTACACAATTCATTTGACATGGATCGAAATGTGGATAAAGTAAAATGGTTGAGTTAGACAACTCAAAACCAATGTAAAACATCTCTCATATCTCTAATGAACATGAAACTGGAAAAGAAATGCATGAATTCTGATGATTTTTCTTTAAAAAAAAAAGAATAGAAAGAGAATATAACTTTTAATATAAAAATATAAGTCTTTACTTTTGCATATATTTGAATTCCTCAAGCTTCTGCATAATATGCAATTGAAGTTACCAATAAGACAAAAAGTAATCAACATGTTTGTCTTCTACAACATGTTTACATAACACAAATATACAAATTGATGTGTCCTTATCATATCAATATCATACCTTTTTGATTATCTCCCCCCCCCCCACCTCAAGCTCCCCCTTTTTTTTCTCTGGGTGCAAGCAAGTAGCTGTAATTTTGTTGAATTAACATGACTGTTAAGATCATATTTATAATTGATTAATTTAGTAAATTTTTTTTTGTAAATCTTAACCTATTCCATAATTATGATGATGTTGAAGATCTGAAAGAGTTAATAGAAGGGAGAAGATTGTACTTCAAACTACATCAAGAGATTTTCCATTTTCCGTATGCACCTATTTGCTTAAGACAAAGGTAATGACCTTGAAACCTTAACACCTTTGGTTTAATTTATTAGACTTAGGTTGATTAGGTAAAATAGAATCAGTGATTGATCTATTAATGACTTCAAGAATCAGTGATTTTTTATGTGTCCTTCATGGAAAACTTGTAAGATGTCTCATACTTCTTTGGAGGTTTCGCAAGTAGCTATCTTCTAGAACTCACTTGGTGTCACGGTATTGAATATCGCATTCAAGTTTTTCGAGTTCCACCCTGACAATGACCATATCGAGTCCATAATTGAAACATGGAAGCCAAAAAAATGCACATGTACTTGTAACAGTAGAGATAGAGAGATCACCAGCGGGGAACAAAAGGCACACGAAAAGATATATAAGACATATAGAGTGTGAGCTTGATGCATTAACCTACCAGTATCTGATGAAGACCACTTTTTGGATGTATACGAGAATACATAAACAAGAAATCAAAGGTTGGAAATAATCCAGCACGCTGCATCACAAGACGTGCCCTCTTTAAGTGAATATACAGGTCAATTAGTAAAATCAAAAACAATTTAACATCCACAGGTGGCAAGAGTAAAAGAGGGTTTAGAGTAATCATTGTTTTAATCCAGTCATTGTTGAAAGCAAGTTAATCAAGTGCATATTCTCAACAGCAGACAGTCCAAAGACAATTCAATTACCTCTAGAATGGGAGAGGGGGAATTCAGTGATGAATGAAGTAAGGGTAGATCTTCTGCATCTAGACAAGTCACTTCACCAACAGGAAATTTAGATCCATACCTGCCAGCTCTGCCTACAAGGAAAACCCATGAACCATACAAAGTCTATAATTCATCTTGTCCCCAAATAGAGCAAAGGAATAATTAACAATGAGGAGTCAAATGCTTCAGCAACCTCACTGATACAGAACATAAACAAAATAGCACGACAAAAATAAAAATCAAACAGAACAACACATATATGCTGCATTTCTCTTGGAACTCTCCCACTAAAGATGGGTATACTGCCATTTGAAAACCCCGAAACTATAACATTAAACACCAGGCACATGTAGAGGAAATACCAACGAGGCTCTAAGAACTTTTACTCCCAATTTTAGGATTTTCTCTTACATTTCCCAATACTTAGAGACACCTGAAACCAGAATTTATATGCCTCATCGAATTGAAGTGGCTGATAGAGAAATTCATCCAGTGGATATGAAAATGTACCCGCAATTTGTTTGATCTCCGGCACTGTGAGTTCCCTCATTTCCACACCATCAAATTTCTCCAATTTCGAAAATATGATTCTAGAAATGTTAAGATTGAGACCCATCCCAATTGCATCACTTGCTACAAGAACATCAAACTCACTGCTTGCATCATTGAACATTGTAGCCTGCAATCCTAAACAACATATTAACTCAGATATTGCTTCATATCAAACATAGAAAAGTCAAAAAAAGGTCACACCCACCCAGAATACATAGTAAGCATTCTAAAAAGTACATAATTTATCAGATATGATTTGCATTCCACGAGGGNTAAAAAAAAGATCACACCCACCCAGAATACATAGTAAGCATTCTAAAAAGTACATAATATATCAGATATGATTTGCATTCCACGAGGGAGGAAGGGGCAAAGAAGAGGAGCGAGGGAGAGGTCAAAAAGGATTTAAGACGTTTGACTAGGACAGGTGACCCAAGTAGNTCAAAAAAAGGTCACACCCACCCAGAATACATAGTAAGCATTCTAAAAAGTACATAATTTATCAGATATGATTTGCATTCCACGAGGGAGGAAGGGGCAAAGAAGAGGAGGGAGGGAGAGGTCAAAAAGGATTTAAGACGTTTGACTAGGACAGGTGACCCAAGTAGGAATTCTGCTTCCAACCCATGGAAATAATAAAATTAGGAGTAGAAAGTTCAAGAGATGGTACTGCAAATAAAAATGGGGAGCATAGAAGAAATTAATTGCAAGGAACTTTCTTGCAACAGGATGCGTATAATTCTCAAAAGATATAATTAAATAGTGGAAACCAATACCTGTCTCGTTCGAGTCTCTGGAGGCAGTGAGCCATAAACTACAGAACAAAGATGCTTTCCTCCATTTTCAATGTCTTTCTGTGAAAGTGAAAGTAAGGTAAAGGTAAAGTGAGAATAAGTCTACCATGCAAGTGATAATACATCATTGAGCAAGTAATCCAGTAAAGTACAAGGTTACTGGTGTGAATTATTTTCTTATTGCGATTTAAAATCAAAGACCTGCAAAAAGAACCAGCCAATATATATAATTCTTAAAACCAAAAGCATGAGAAACTCAGCACAGTTTAAGAATATTTGACAAGCATAACACAATGTAAATTCAAAGCAAGAAAAAAAAATATGATTGATCAATTAGTTCAACTAACGAATCGTTGGCCTTCCAAGCTCAGTCACATCATAAACCACTTTCCAAGGCACCATCCATATGGGTGCCAACTTGAACAGGCTCTCGTTTTACTTTCGTTTTGCAAGAAATCATTCCCATAGATTCTTAATTTTTCAGCTTTACTGTGCATTATTTTCTATTTTGTGCTTTAAGACATGTTTTAGGTTGCCTGTTTGAGTAATGATATTACAATGAACCCTGGGGGATTAAGATGCATTTTGGTGCTACAATTGTTCTTTCTAGTACTCTATAGTCTATACCGCATTTCGTTTACAGAATTGATATTACAATGACCCCACGGACCCACATGAGTTTTGTTGCGAGAATTGATCTTTTTTACTCCGTACGATCTTTTGTTTATAAATGGATATTACCATAACCCATCGTTTAATATAAAGCTTAACTGACATTTGATGCTTGCATAAGTATGTTAAAACCCACTTTCAACTATATTTATCATGTTTATCACAATGGGTCATTGCCAATGTAGCTTGAAACATAAACCAGGTCAGGGACAAAACATCTGTAACCAAGTGGTTATATGCATGCTTTAAAGAAAAGAAGGGTGGTAGGCAGAGAAGAATTGGACAGAAATAATAGATACATATCAAGTAATTGCTGACCTTCAATCTGTATATCTTCTGACGTGAGAAGGTGACAAGGCAGTCACCAGTTCGTATGTTTGAAAAAGAACCAAGAGGAACCTTCAAAGGAACAAGAGGTGAAAGCCTCTCATAACATTGAACCTAAGGAAAACCACAAAACAAGAAAAATAAACGTTAGATGTGGTACGTGATCAAATATTAAGGTAACATCTATGAAATAGCTAAAACAAGCAGCTACAAAGTTAAGCCGCATATTAGAATACTGTATTGGTAAACGTTATTTCCAAGACACAGTTAACTACATGATTTAATCTTCTTGATGCCATTTTTTAAAACGTGGACAAAAATTGACAGAAATGATTGAAATTCCAATTCCCAACAGTCTTAATGCTCTTTTTAAAACTTTTTAGCACTTCATTACAAATACCTTTTTTTTTTTGTTTTCCCCCATTACTAATAGAGCACAATTCCATTACCACAACATTGTCTCTTTTTTTTTCTTCCTGTGGATAAGTATTACCTCAACATTGTCACCAGTAACTTTAAGTATTTCCTGAACTAAACGTACAGCAGCTGGATCTCCACAAAGGTGAAGCTCGTTGGCAGAAATTCCCAATAAAGCACGAGTGAATGAAAAACCCCTTGTCCGACACCCTAACATCTGTAAAACAGAAAGAACCATGATTACACAAAAATACTGGACATAATCATGATGTATGAAATCAAATATGCACTATTTACATACCACAGTATTTAGTTATTGGACAAAAATCAATATACTTTTAATGCTGAATCAGGATCAACTGGGACAAAAATAAAGCATTGGGTCAAACTCTTATTTGGTGTCAAGGTAATAACGATGAATAGTCATTGACTTCCGGGTAAGGGNAAGCTTAACTGACATTTGATGCTTGCATAAGTATGTTAAAACCCACTTTCAACTATATTTATCATGTTTATCACAATGGGTCATTGCCAATGTAGCTTGAAACATAAACCAGGTCAGGGACAAAACATCTGTAACCAAGTGGTTATATGCATGCTTTAAAGAAAAGAAGGGTGGTAGGCAGAGAAGAATTGGACAGAAATAATAGATACATATCAAGTAATTGCTGACCTTCAATCTGTATATCTTCTGACGTGAGAAGGTGACAAGGCAGTCACCAGTTCGTATGTTTGAAAAAGAACCAAGAGGAACCTTCAAAGGAACAAGAGGTGAAAGCCTCTCATAACATTGAACCTAAGGAAAACCACAAAACAAGAAAAATAAACGTTAGATGTGGTACGTGATCAAATATTAAGGTAACATCTATGAAATAGCTAAAACAAGCAGCTACAAAGTTAAGCCGCATATTAGAATACTGTATTGGTAAACGTTATTTCCAAGACACAGTTAACTACATGATTTAATCTTCTTGATGCCATTTTTTAAAACGTGGACAAAAATTGACAGAAATGATTGAAATTCCAATTCCCAACAGTCTTAATGCTCTTTTTAAAACTTTTTAGCACTTCATTACAAATACCTTTTTTTTTTTGTTTTCCCCCATTACTAATAGAGCACAATTCCATTACCACAACATTGTCTCTTTTTTTTTCTTCCTGTGGATAAGTATTACCTCAACATTGTCACCAGTAACTTTAAGTATTTCCTGAACTAAACGTACAGCAGCTGGATCTCCACAAAGGTGAAGCTCGTTGGCAGAAATTCCCAATAAAGCACGAGTGAATGAAAAACCCCTTGTCCGACACCCTAACATCTGTAAAACAGAAAGAACCATGATTACACAAAAATACTGGACATAATCATGATGTATGAAATCAAATATGCACTATTTACATACCACAGTATTTAGTTATTGGACAAAAATCAATATACTTTTAATGCTGAATCAGGATCAACTGGGACAAAAATAAAGCATTGGGTCGAACTCTTATTTGGTGTCAAGGTAATAACGATGAATAGTCATTGACTTCCGGGTAAGGGTAGAAGAATGGGGCCTGTAATGGGACATATAATGCATTACAATTTACAGCCTTATCCCCCTCTATTGGAATTTTAGTGATAGGCTCCATAGGAATTGGATGGTCCTATTTGGTCAAATACCCAGCAACAAATTCCTATGCTCCGTTCATTATGGTATTTCTAAACAAGCCCCAGGATAACAAGCCTAAAGGTTTTCTTATTGATAATATCGATATTGATGATAGAGATATCTATGAAGATATTAATTGTGACCTTGATTCAAATTAGCAAAAGCAATGTTTACTTGCATAATATGGATTCCAAACATTCATGATCTAGATGTGCATGAGTTGAATTACCCCTCAGACTATTAGTGGACCATTTCTCCGAAAATTGTGANCAAACTCTTATTTGGTGTCAAGGTAATAACGATGAATAGTCATTGACTTCCGGGTAAGGGCAGAAGAATGGGACCTGTAATGGGACATATAATGCATTACAATTTACAGCCTTATCCCCCTCTATTGGAATTTTAGTGATAGGCTCTATAGGAATTGAATGGTCCTATTTGGTCAAATACCCAGCAACAAACTCCTATGCTCCGTTCATTATGGTATTTCTAAACAAGCCCCAGGATAACAAGCCTAAAGGTTTTCTTATTGATAATATCGATATTGATGATAGTGATATCTATGAAGATATTAATTGTGACCTTGATTCAAATTAGCAAAAGCAATGTTTACTTGCATAATATGGATTCCAAACATTCATGATCTAGATGTGCATGAGTTGAATTACCCCTCAGACTATTAGTGGACCATTTCTCCGAAAATTGTGAAAGATATTGGACTAGAAATATTCTTGTTATTGCTTGGACTTATATTTCCCAAAAAGTGGATTCGAATAAATTAAATATGTGCATTAAGATACAAAGGCTTCATATTCCAAAACAATGAAAACACTTATTCACTCTTTCATCTACTAGCAGATTTCACTTGAAAAAGAAAATATTCTATATTTAATGAATTCAGGCCCAAAACAATGAGTTCCAATGCACAAGATCATGTAGCACTTACCAATGAAGTCCTATCGATTAGTATTACACAGAAAAAATCAACTATAGACACCTAGATCCGCTGTTCATAGACAAACTTGGAATTTGTGATCCCAGGTAAGATCGGTTTAGAATCATGGGATCCTTTTCTATCAGATAAGAAGTTGTAGCACAAAATGTACTTCAGAGTAATTTTCCCATAGATCCTATATCCATCTATGCGAAGAAGAAATCATGTAATGAAGGGGAAAAATAATTGATTCAGGTGTAAAGTGGAATAGTAATCGTTTAGTGGGTTTGTACTAGGTCAATCTTTCGTTGTTATAAAATATGTATATCAAAGCTAGAAGGACAAATCATAACTTCAAAAATTTTCATTGGGATGATAATGGAGATTTTGTAGGCTTTAAAAAGAAAAAGGAGTTTCCCTAGGGCAATCACCTAATGGCAAACAATCCTAATTTTAAGTCATTTACCACCTTTAATCATGCATATAAAGCAGATCTAACCTGAATATTTATCTCCATTCCTTCCACACAAATGTTGCATTTCAGTCAACATACAATGCACCATTTCAAGGATAGATCACAAATCTTATTGGAAAAAAAATTGTATACCACATCAAAAGATTAGAGCCACCCAAGGTTTGTTTATATGGTTGAGGGATCTGTCCATACATCATAAATTGATGATAGGTTGGATACCTCTAACATGATATCAAGGTTGGGACTTGGTGGCTAGTAGCCAATTCTCCCACCCATTTGAATTTCTTTGCATACATATTTGATTGAATGTTTGTGATCTAGGACCACGTGAGGAAAGGTGCAAAAAGAGATTGTTGTATCACACACCAAAAAGTTAGGACCAATTACAGTTGGTTTATATGGTTGCTCCACTTATTACTAATTGGTTTGATGTTGTATGCATCTAACACTTACGATTATAACAAATGCATTTTTTTCCAACCAAAACTGTAACAAAGCAATTGACATGCCTGAATCTCGTCAATAACAGCGCAGTCATATTCAGCAGTTACGTCAGCCATCTCAACTGTCACGGCCTTGTGCTTTGCACCATCAACTTCCTCTCTTTCTTGTCCCGTAATGAGATCACAAGGAACTTCAGCCTTGTTCAACCGCTTTGCCACCTCCCATGCCAACAATCTCAATGGTCCACAATAAATACCTGTAGCAAACAAAACAAATGCAAACATTTTAAGTAGTTCATTAATACATCTCTGAACTCTGCTAATGTTCCTAAAACATATATAGGAAATACTTGAGGAAATCAAGGTGATATTGTGATTTACAATGTACCAGAAGAACTGGACTCCAGTTTCTTCAGAGCATGATGTGTTTTACCACTATTTGTGGGACCTACATGTAAAACAACGAGCCGCTTCTTTTTTCGAGCACTGGGGTACCATGTATGAGGCCGACTACAATTCAGGAAAACAAAAAAGGGACCGAGTATCATGATAAGTATGGGCAAAAGGCGAACAAAGGAAACAACAGAAAAATCAAATTTTATTGTGAAAACTTGAAAACCAAACGATAGGGAGAAAAGTATTAAATTTATCTGTTTGGCAGAAGATACCCATCTATTCAAATGCATGTTAAATAATTGCACAAAATATATTTTTGTCTTACAAACCAATTAGTTGCATATCTAGAAACACAGGACAAATGAATTTCTCACGTAAGATCTGTAAAATCAAACTTCATTGCACCGCTGGAACTGCTGAACTGCCTTAAGCAACCACAAATCTTAAACGAACTACCAAACTTCCGTTCCCAGGGAACCCAACATAGCTCCACATTATCTGCCCCACAAAAAAGGGTGAGGGAAACATAAAACAATGCAATTGGCTAAAACAAAATGCAAAAATCATGCAAGTGGATACTCCTCTACTAACAAAAACCATATCATAAAGGATTCAGAACACTGTTCACATAAAATCAGCAAAGACACATTAAAGTTCCATAAACATAAACCAAAAGGAAAGCATCTTGGTTATGTAACCATTACCAACTTTGTTCTGGTTTATGTAGCCACTAGCCATACTTAAAAGAAACAGGAAAATTGTACTCATCATTATACATTATTACCATAGAAAATCATCACCACAGACCCAACAAATGGTAAGATAGCTGAATCAATTCTCTATACAAGCTACAGGACACCATATCTATTCTAAATCTATTTCTGATTATCCCTCTATTAACTACTAAAACCCAAGCTCTTCATGACTTTCAAAAGGCCAGCAAATACAGAGAAACAAAACTTAAAATAAATTTAGAAACTACAAATGGTGGAAGAGATTAGACAATGATGACCAATGAAATTTTGGCACTTGTCAAATGCTCTCAATCTCATCATCGTAGAGACCTCAGCATTCAAGTCATCCACCTTCTTGATGGGACTTGAGACTTCTTCTTCCAAATCTTCTACCACCGTGGTAGGACTTAGTCTCTCTTCAACTTCACTCTTGGAAGTATCTCTAGGGGGAGAGGAATGGGTGCGTACAATAAACAATAAAAACACATGAGATTTGTTGACGTGAAAACCATCCAGAAAAAACCGCAGGGTAAACCTAATCCACTATCCCACAGTCAATCTATAAGTACTCGAGTTTTATACTTTAATCAATACCATGGTTAAATTCTCTTTTCCTTCGATAGATCTCACCACCAAATACACCCNAACCGCAGGGTAAACCTAATCCACTATCCCACAGTCAATCTATAAGTACTCGAGTTTTATACTTTAACCAATACCATGGTTAAATTCTCTTTTCCTTCGATAGATCTCACCACCAAATACACCCACCGATGTCGTGGATAGCGTCACTTAAACTCCCAGCGAGACAGTTCATTTGGACCTCGACCATTCTTAGAACGCACCCAAGNCCACCGATGTCGTGGATAGCGCCACTTAAACTCCCAGCGAGACAGTTCATTTGGACCTCGACCATTCTTAGAACGCACCCAAGAATCCCGATATGCACGCCCTTTAAGTGGGTTTGGTAGAACAAAGCAAGTTCTTCTTCTCCAATGAATGTCCATAATTTTAATTAACCTATTAATCCCAAGTGTATAATCTTCAGGGACGATCCATTCTGCACAAAGATATCATGTTTATCCTTATATCAAAGAACAGTCGTTAGACTCGTGTTAACCAAGAAAGTATGAAAAAAGCAGAGAGGAACATATTCCTAAATCTATGGAAAATGCTTCCCTTATTCTTTGTAATCAGTTGCATTTTACAATGAGTGAAGCACCCACATTAGAAATACACAGCAATTAGCCGTCCGTATTCAATAAGGGAAGTTGGAAAAGATTTCAACTAGTAAGTGTTGTTAGCATGTATGATAAGAAAAAATGGAATGGCACCTAAACGACTCATCAACCCACAAACATACCAGAGTCGAAGCAGCATGAATTAGAGGGTATAAATCAAACAACTACTACTCATCTTATAGCACACTTTCAAACTTCATAGTCGTATATCATGAAGTGCTCTTAGTCGTATATCATGGCATTCATTATGTGGTGGGTGTGCTCTTAAACATATATGCAAAGCCATAATTGTTTTCACAATCACTCATATAATCAACTAGTATGTAACTTACAAACAGCATTCCTCAATCACAATCACACCCAAATCAATAGATAGATTACCACACAAAAAAAAAGACAACTTTTATCCCTTTCCTCCATTTTCTAGGCAACCAAACACTTTGAACTATTACAAAGAGCCACAGCATTAGAAAGTAAGATGAGGGCTCTGCAGGTACCACGTTGGAGAGAACAAGAAAGGCCTAAAAGTGAGAGTCTCCGACGNATATCATGTTTATCCTTATATCAAAGAACAGTCGTTAGACTCGTGTTAACCAAGAATGTATGAAAAAAGCAGAGACGAACATATTCCTAAATCTATGGAAAATGCTTCCCTTATTCTTTGTAATCAGTTGCATTTTACAATGAGTGAAGCACCCACATTAGAAATACACAGCAATTAGCCGTCCGTATTCAATAAGGGAAGTTGGAAAAGATTTCAACTAGTAAGTGTTGTTAGCATGTATGATAAGAAAAAATGGAATGGCACCTAAACGACTCATCAACCCACAAACATACCAGAGTCGAAGCAGCATGAATTAGAGGGTATAAATCAAACAACTACTACTCATCTTATAGCACACTTTCAAACTTCATAGTCGTATATCATGAAGTGCTCTTAGTCGTATATCATGGCATTCATTATGTGGTGGGTGTGTTCTCAAACATATATGCAAAGCCATAATTGTTTTCACAATCACTCATATAATCAACTAGTATGTAACTTACAAACAGCATTCCTCAATCACAATCACACCCAAATCAATAGATAGATTACCACAAAAAAAAAAGACAACTTTTATCCCTTTCCTCCATTTTCTAGGCAACCAAACACTTTGAACTATTACAAAGAGCCACAGCATTAGAAAGTAAGATGAGGGCTCTGCAGGTACCACGTTGGAGAGAACAAGAAAGGCCTAAAAGTGAGAGTCTCCGACGAAGAAGCAAAGAGGCCATTGTCTAAGAGAGACAATTGTTGTCGTTCCTTTGACGATAATGAAAAAGGAACATCAAAGGGAGTTTGAAATCATAGGAAAAACAAACGGATTTCAAGGAAAATGAGAGGTGGGTCGAAACATCGGAGGACTGTGGTACTCATGTATTCATTCTCTCGTTGTTCCTTGTGTGTGCTTCGAAACGCTGACTTCGGGTCCGAAGTGAATATATGCAGCTTGCGCGGATTACCTACCGGAAGTTCAACTCCGACAAGCAAACAGGCCCATTAGGCCTTATTCCAAGTATCTACCAAGCGCAAATTACACTTTGAGCCCCTCAACTATGAACTTGATTTCATTTTACCTCTTGAACTATTAAACTTTTCAACTACCCTATTAACTGCTTGAATTAATTCACATTGCCTCAAACGCAAATATCCGCTATATTTTTGATGAAAATTATCAATGTATCATGGCAAAGTAAAAAAATCACATAGTTCGAATAGTAAAATGAAACAACTTTTAGTCAAATTTATAACAGACATTAACAATTGGAGTAATACAAAATTAATCAAATAGTTGAAGTGATATATAAAAAAAAATAATAATTTAGAGGACAATGAGAAAAAATAGTCATAAACCAAATATTTTCATCGCCCCTTTTCTTTAATTTTCCTGATACGATGAAGTTTATATGTACACAGTTTTATTTATTAAGCGAATAAACTATTTTCGTTAATTAAATTTGTAATGTCTAAGTTATAATAAAACAATCTTTTTCTTGCACTTAGACCAGTCTCATATTCNCGCCCCTTTTCTTTAATTTTCCTGATACGAGGAAGTTTATATGTACACAGTTTTATTTATTAAGTGAATAAACTATTTTCGTTAATTAAATTTGTAATGTCTAAGTTATAATAAAACAATCTTTTTCTTGCACTTAGACCAGTCTCATATTCCGAATAGGTAAATGACTTGAAAAAATACCCCATATTTGAAAATCAGCCCCATGTAAAAAGATTTTTGTAGACAATCATGGTTCCAGCCCATGTGGCTTCTGTTCAAATTTTGATAATTTTTTGGAGTCAAATCATTATTGATTTTTTATGAATAACTTAATTTTGGCATACATGTCTTTGACTGGTCCAAAAAAAAATTAATCAAAACATGTATAAAAATAACCCAGATAACCATAACCATTGAAGTGTTGAACTAAACCCCAAAAAGAAAGTGGTATCTAGTCATTTTCACAACCCCAAAAAGCAAACCCAAAACCAAAGGTGGCTATCATTGTAGAGGCCGAAAGANATCAGCCCCATGTAAAAAGATTTTTGTAGACAATCATGGTTCCAGCCCATGTGGCCTCTGTTCAAATTTTGATAATTTTTTAGAGTCAAATCATTATTGATTTTTTATGAATAACTTAATTTTGGCATACATGTCTTTGACAGGTCCAAAAAAAAATTAATCAAAACATGTATAAAAATAACCCAGATAACCATGACCATTGAAGTGTTGAACTAAACCCCAAAAAGAAAGTGGTATCTAGTCATTTTCACAAACCCCAAAAAGCAAACCCAAAACCAAAGGTGGCTATCATTGTAGAGGCCGAAAGAAAACCAAAGCCCAGATTTTCCACAACGATTTGGTCCAAAACTTGGTCCAATAGGTCCGAGAGGTGCTATAAGTTGATCATAGTGAGTTCAAATTAATACAAGGTTTCGCATTCGAGTTTTAGAAATAACCACTCAGTACATAGGAGTAATGTTGGGTACATATATCTCATTCGTAACGATGGAAGTTTGATGCACTATAATAGGAGGAGCGGATGAGGTTTGAACCAACAATCACTTACGAGCGGGAGTGGAACTTTTTTGATACTCCTTTGCCTCTTAAGTTTTGTGCACTAGACGCTGCCTTCGTATAAAAAGAATCATTGTTTGAATGACTAAGAAGTGATCCAATAATCATAGGGAAGTGGATTCAAAGTCATTTGATCCTATTACTTCTATAACAATCGATAAACCAGAGGTTTAAGCATACAATGTTTTATAGTCTTGCAAAAGTGATTATAGCTAGACTGAGATAAGGTTGTTACACTTAAACCTCAATATATCTATCTGGAGGCCCAGAGAACTACATGGAGAGAAAGATGCATAAAAAGAGGCACAAGCATCCTGATTTGACAGACTAACTTATAGTTTAATAGGAAGTATCGTCCTTGATAGAGCACAACGATAAAAAAAATTCATATAATCGGTTGTAAATGTTAAAATAAGATTTTATTGAGTTGCGTGGTTGAAGTCTCGTGATTTGGCAGGCAACTAGGAAGGTGATAAATGCTTAAATTAGAGTTGTTAAATTGTGTTGAATTGTATCGTGTGACCTGGGCGTTGGTATTTTTGTTTTGTGTTACTGTTATTTGTGTCGTATTCGTATTAAAATCTACGAAAAAAAAAATATTTAATATTGATTAAGTGTAAAATATTAATCTAAATTATTTATTTTATGTATTTAATAATTATATCAATTTTAAAATCGATCGTGTCGGTGGGTCAAAGTTGACACCGCACTTAAATTTGAGGTATGACTGCCACTAGTTTCAATGAAATGAGTGGTGAGTAGCTCTTATGCTCTTATTTTCATTGCAGCCTGTAAAACCTACAACGGTCTCGGCTCATTCATGTCTGAATTTAATGCCATCGCAATGTAGACCAACCAATTTAAGACATGATACATGAATATGATGCAACTTATGATAGCAACCCAACAATTTATACCCATTGTTGGTTCTTACCATATTCTTTTTGAAAAAAATTATATTGACATTCTTCAATATTCTATGATAATAAAACCGATAAAAGTTTTTAATATTTTAGAATTAGCACGAGCACTCTCAACATTGGTTGAACGAGGATAAAAATTGTGATTTGAATAACAAAAAACTTCAATATGGAGTCTTTGTTCATTTCTCGCTTGTCAAATGTCGTCCCATTATTTTACAAAAACCAAATGGATGTACATATGGAATGTCTACATCAAACAAATAACATTGTTCAACCCGAAGCGGAAAACTCAAGTGTTAATAGAAATTAATTATATAAACCTAGATGTTTTGAGTTCGAATCTTGATAACTTAGACTTTGACTATAAACCTAGACTTTGAAAGATTTATCCCTCATTAATATCTTAGTCCCAACGTGAATTGTCTATTTTGATTGAATTGAGGAAAGAATTAGTTGAGATGCGCATAACTTGACACCCCTAACTACTAGCCCGAAGACTCGTAACTGTTAAAAAACAAAAAAAAGAATAGCATTGTTCTTAGAGATAAGGACATGTGAAGAAAGCGTTGTCATTTTTGAAAATCAAAGACCAAAACAGCCTTGAAACTGATAGAAAAAGTGGGTAAGAAAGAGAGAAAACTAGACAATGAGGCCGTAAAGTAAAGCAGAGAAAAAGCAGTAAAGAATCACAAAGAAAAATGGAATGTTGTCTTTGACTGCCTCGTAATTCTTGACCAATGAGGGCAGTTTGGGAAACAAAAGGGTGAAACTAAATCTTCTTAGTATGCTTTTTATCTTTTTGTGACCTATTTTGAAATCTTATGCGGAAGATATGCTAATCAATGCTAATACTTTGTTGTCTTATATCATTAGCTCTATCATCCAAGTTCAAACTATGGGATTTCTAGTCACCTTTTTGTAATTATTTTATAATGATTGTCTTAATTAGAGATATTGCGACATGTGTAATGAGATTTGATTTTTCTTTGAGGAGAGCATCGTTTTAATCTCATGTATTTTGAATTTGTGATTGCAACACGAATATCGGATGTAGAAAATCAATCACATTACCTAGTTTTTTTTTGTGCATGGTGGGACTTGAATTCAAGACGTACAGATTTCATCTCACCCCTTGGTCAACAGCTAAAACATGTGTGGTTTATGAGACAAATTTTACTCAAAACTTAGAAATAGATTTTTTTTAAACATTTCAAACGGGCGTCATGCAACACAAACATTACTAAATGGACATGACCATACTCTTGCATCATATGGTGTATCCGTCTAATTTATAATATAAAACATGACCGGTTTTAATAAGTTCATCTGACGGTCTTTAATAGACTCATCTAACGGCCCACCAATTTCTTTCTTAAAATTATTCATAATACACCGTACCTTCAGGTATGAATTACCCATAGTATTAAATAAATAAGTCAATAACATGACCCTATATTTTTACCTAGGTGGTTATTATTTTACAAAGAACGTAGTTATTTGAATAAGTAGAGTTTATTTATTTTTTTATTTGGTGATAAAGCGGGATAATACTAACCTGGTGTCACTTATTATAAAACGTGAGGCAAACTCAAATTATTCCCTTCCTTACATGGACAAAAGGCAAAATCAGACAATCCAAAAAACAATTGGGCTATACTGATATTTGTTGGTCTGTTCTTGGCTAAAAATCATAAGAACATTATGTCTTTGTTGAATCCAAGAAAATGGTGTCATCTAAGATACCATTTCCATGGCAAACTTTGCACATTTGAGATTCTTTGTCCAACGAGGGGACAAAATTGATTCCATATATTGGTTCTTCCACTATTATAAGTTGTCACAATCCTCTTTTTTTTTTTTTTTTTCAGCGATCAGAGTGTTCAGATCAGTTTAAACATATTTCGATTAATTTTCTCTTTGGTCTAATTAAAGATAGAGTACCCATGTGGGGACTAAGATATTCATGAAAGATAAATCTCTCATAACTTAGTTCCAAGGAGTTGTCAAGATTTGAACTCAAGATATCTGATTGGAATAAGGTAATTAAATATTTCAAAATTTAAGTAATTAAGCATGTAGGGAGGGAAGTCTTCTTAATATCTCTCATCTCTAATTTGATTGTGTTATATATTTATAATCTATAATATAAATAGAGCAAGTTTCAATAAGTTCATTTGACGTTCTCAAATAGATTCATCTAACGGCTACCAACATCTCTTTCAAAAGCATTCACATT